ATTACAATTGAAAAAGTGGTACCTAAGAATTCATTGCATAACCTTAGTGATCATATAGACTTTTGTCCTAGCGACGGAATCCATCTTTTCATGTCTCAACAGTGAAGGCAACAATAATTGATTTTTGAAGTTTTAGTCTATCACTAAACTGGTGATTTGTGTCGATTTTTAAGCTAGAAAAAATGTAACCTTGGATAGAATTAAATTAAACTGCCATTCATTTGGTTCGGTTTGGTATGGTTGGTTTTATATGGAGAAACTACCTCGAACCAAGTCACATACATTAACCACCTAGACTAATTCTATTTTTACAAAAAAAATTTGCCAAAGTTAGAAAGAGGAGGAGGGATTTCTCACACACATACAGACAAGGTGGCATGAAGGTTCAAACCTAAGATCACTAATCTGCAAGTAAATACCCTTTTCTACAAAACTAGATCCCGTTGGCAATTCTATTTTTTACAATTAACCACCAAAACTTAACGTCGTATTACAATTTGGCACCTCCGACCACTTCTATCCACCTTTTTCAAGAGCAAACTTGTCATTCCTAGTGACTAATAGGGTACCTAGAGATATCTTCCTTACAGTGAACTTTGTTAATAGCATCGGGACATTTCCATCTGTGAGTCTTCACTTGAGAACGACATCTATGTCGTCCTCTTTTCTTTCTTCTGCTCCAGTTAAAAATCTTTTGTGGATAAAATCCCCATTTGATGGGTTGATACATTGGAAAATATATTTGATGAATCTGTTTTCTTCGTAAAGTTCTTTTTTAGTTTTATAATCTTTGGTGGAAAGATCCCTAAAGATGGGCTATGATCACGGGCCTTTACAGGTTTTTTTTTTTGTTTGAGGAAAAATTTATGGGGGAAATTCTAATGACAACAATATTAATGCCTGATGTAAAGAACTCTTTTTTTTTTATAGAGAAAAAAGATATTTAGTTATGTACCCATTTTTAGTATTAGTGATATAGATAAACTCTACACTATTTAATTTTTAGGCTTAATTGCTACGGTGCACTCTAAAACATTGGTTAAATCCCACTTTACCCCCCTAAAGTGAAAGTGACCCACTTTTCCCCCTTGATCAAGGTTTTATGTTCCACATTGCCCCTGTCGTCAATTCCATCCAAAAGTCCGTTAAGTTTGATGATGTGGCATGGGTGTTTTAGTAATTTTATGGCATAAGTGTTTTAGTAATTTTATGGCATAAGTGTTTTAGTAATTTTGTGCACCTAGGTCATTTAATCACCAATTTGAGTGGGTGATATGGCAAAGTGGAGCCTACCTCTAGCATAGATTAAAATAAATAAATAAAAACATTATTTACTTTAAAAAATAAAAATAAAAACATAAAATTTATTTATTTTTATTTAACATAAATTTAAAATTTTATTTATGTTTTAATCTATGATGGAGGTGGGCTCCACTTTGCCACATCACCCACTCAAATTGGTGAGTAAATAACCTAGGTGCACAAAATTACTAAAACACTAATGCCACATCATCAAACTTAACAGACTTTTGAATGGAGTTGATGGTAGGGGGCAATGTGGAACATCAAACCTTGGTCAAGGGGGCAAAGTGGGTCACTCTAACTTTAAGGAGGTAAAGTATGATTTGACCACTGTTTTCAGGGTGCACTGTAGCAATTAAGCCTAATTTTTATAAACAAACTATAAAAAAAACTCAAAAAATGACAGATGGCCCTATTGAATTTAATTTGAAGTATTAAATTACTTTGATGCCCTATTGAGTGTTTTGGTTTTTTTATGAGGTTTTAGGGTTGAGCTTGTTTTAAGAAATCAATGGTAGTTTTGTAATTTATAGGAAGTTCGAAGCCTCTTTGTTATGTTGTAAATGAGCTTTGTGTGTGTTTTTAAAGTCCATTTCATCATGTATATGATTTTTTTAATATATAATTTGGGCTCCCATATTAGGTATATAATAGTGAATCTCCCATAAAATTATGTTTTCATTGTAACATGTGGAGAGAAATGGTAATATAAGAACAAAAAATCATGTGCTATTGGCAAGAATGTAGGAACTCCTACTTACCTGATAAGAAGGGGAGTATTTTCCCTCTTAGAATATGTTATGATATGCGGAACATTGGAATTCCTTGGGATCTATTTTGCAAGTTTTTTTTATCCCCAGTGTTTTGTAAGTTCTATTCAGTCAGAAAGAACCACGTGGTTTTTAAGGAGGCTGATGTCCAAATTACCGTGTGGTTATTAAAAAGGTTTAAAAAATCTTTTCAGTTTGAGATGTGTGGCTTCAAATGTTGAATCAGTTTTGAAGGTGTGTGTGAAGATAAAGTTACTTTTGGTTGTTTAGACTAATCAGATTACAGAAGCTCGAGATAAGTCCTGCTACTGCTGTATGGATATCCTTAGGTTTTGTCTCCGAGCAATTATGTGACCTTTTTGCCACTGGAGGTGGCTTTATAAAGTTCAGAATTTCAGCACATCCCCTAATTTCTCCATGAGATGCGGGGCTTGTCATGCTTTTTTTTTTTTTTTTTTTTTTTCAATACAAGTGATGATAGTTTATATTATATACACATTACTAAAGATGTTATAGAGGTTCGAACTTGAGACTATTGGTTCGCAAGTCAAGGTCAATTTTCACTAGATTAGAGTTCGTTGGTGGCCTCATCATACTTTAGTCGCGTTTATGCATGTCTTCTCAAATGCCTCATCTCAGCCCAATACCCTTCTAAGAAACGTCATAGCACACGAATAATATGTGTACTTTTTGTAAAATAAAAAAGAAGTATTATTCGTGAAAACTTGTACGTGTATAATACTTGAATACTAAGTGTATTTTTCCGTATAATTTAGAAGTGTATGAAAAACTAGAGTCTTCTTCAAGAATACGTACATACACATATATAATACGCAAATTTAACAAGTTATATGGTACATCTTAATTACTCTAGTAAAATGGTGTTATTAGGATAGAGTTTGGTGGCTTCCCTCTATTCCCAAAACTCTAGCTGTTAAAATGCGGACCAACATTTTCTAACACGCCTCTAAACTTGTGGGTATTTCTCCATCATTAGAGTCCACATGTGAAATTAGTTTATATCATGAAAATAACCAGAAAGATAAATCATTCATAAATTAATGAAAAATACTCTCCAGTCGCAATATGTGTTTTGCTTTAGACACACAGGCACACTTTTGAAGTCAAGGCCTTGGCCAAATCCTAGTAAAATATGAATAAATAGAAGCCATATGCAATTGCCTAATGGCTTAGAAACTTGTTTTCTTTCTAAGCCAAGTGGACAAAACTTTGAAAAGTCATGCCTCTAATGGCAGGCAGTGTGTGGAAAGATTCTACTCAAAGAATAAGACCCCTTTAATTTCCGTGACTGAATGCTTGCCCTTAAATATGAAAATGCTAGGCACCAAAGAGGCCTTTTGACAAGGCTCAATCATTAAACCCTAGAAATTTAAGCAAACCCATGAATAACATTTTTGCCATGAAATCTTGTGGTGATCATGGAGTGGCTGGTTGGTGTAAAAAATATGATGGTTTTGCTACCAACTCTGTCGAGCATATCGTCGGTGATGGTACTAGAGAAGATATTGGTTGACAGATGACGTGAGCACAAAGGGAAGGGAGCTATAACTTTTTTCTTTTTGGGGCAAAGTAACCAAGCAAATGAAGCTAACTTTGTTGCGTAAACCGACTAATGGACTGGATTATATGACTCCTGAGGGGATGGTTAATGTATTATGTATGCAGGTTTATTTGAGTTTGTGTATGAATTTGTAAAATTATGAAGTTCGGGATCAAGTTGAAAATAATAAAAAATATCTCATTATATATATATATATTTGTTTGAATATATGATCCAAGTGGAATGAACAGATGATGATCACCATAAACTTTTACTTTTCTTGCTACTAAATCATTAAATTGGTGATTTAGAATGAATCATTTAGCAATTTTTTTAAAATAGAGATTGTCGAGAAAGCGAAGGACAAGAGTGTTACTTTAATATTATTACTATTTCATGTCAATCAGATTTGATCCATGGCTTTGAATAAACGTGTTGAAAATATATATATATATATATCATGTAATTGTTAGGCTAAACCCATATATTATTGTGCCAGAGAAATTACACTAACATATTGTAGTGTACTTCAAAATACAGTAGCAAATTATTTTAGAGTCGATCCTCAATTACAAAAAGACCTCCTAACATATAATTGGGTCCCCCTAAAAGAAATTTGTACCACTCAATCAACCCCATGAACTCTTTTCCATGTTCCGAAATTCCTTACAACTTCGTTACAATTTTCCCCTTCTTTGTCTATGTGACAACAATTTCAAGCTAAAAGCAACCAATAAATTCAAGCTTCATGCCCAAAAATCAGAGAAGCTTCATCCTTCAACGATCAAGCTTCAAATAGTATAAATACTCAGTTCAAATACATCAATTGTCAAGGATGATGTCGTACCGTAGTAGGCCTGAAATTCAAAATACTTGAATAAAAGCAAAGGGTTTTCTTGAGTAACAGGTGATGTTTATGTTCTACTTTCATTCTCTTGAAATGAATCAAGAGAAATCCAACATGCACCCTAAAAACTTGAGACCTGATTACAACATATATCAAATGATCATGAAAATCAACGGACCAAAACACCTACAATAAAGTCATACTAAATATCAAACCCATAATAAATATAATATATATTGTCATCACCATTTATATGAGTTGTACCTGAAACCGCCTCTAATCAAGTTGAAGTAAATACCACTCGATCAAAAGGCTAATTGGTTAATTCCAAACCAATTTTGGAATATCCAATGTATTCTCTTTAAAAGCATTAATATGATAAAGAGATAACATTTCATATAGTCACGCGACACGAAAAAAGTCATTGACCTTTTTTTTATTTTTATGTCAGAATTTTTTATTTTTTATTTTTTCTGACACCAAATCATTTCAAATATGAGCAAAGTAAGATCCCAAGACACGTCGGGAAAATTATAAAGAGATTAAATTGAGTAGGTCCGATTGTGACCACAAAAAATGGTGGGCCCCTCGTGACCAATAGAACCGCCCTCGTCTTCGTAGGTCAGCGCTTAGCCAACTTAAGGGCAGTGCGCGAAACATGTTAGCACAGCTTTTGTCCACCTGACACGTGGCAAACCCAGCAGAAACCTATGTCAGTCAAACGTTTTTCTTAATCCATTGAGGCATCCTGTCTTCTTTCTTAACGATTTACCATAACCTTACATTTTCATTTGTATTTTTGGAAAAATTTAGCAAAGCACCTTGAACTTTTGGACATTGTTCCTCTTTGCCCCCTTCGAATTTCAAAATGGTTTTGAGTCTTCTACACTCTCTGTTCTTGCCAATGTCCTTAAGACTGTCAATTATGTCACAATATTTCGTTAGTTTTCATCGTGTGCAATTCACATGACTAAGTTTCAAGAACATATGCAACAATTGACATCGCAACTAGGCACGGACCCAAATTTGGGCATTGGGAGTTTAGTTGAGTGGTAAAACATGAAGGAAAATTTTAGTGTAAGGGGTATAGCGAAGTTGAATCAGTAAAGCAAGTCCCAACTTGAATGGAAGTAATAACCTTTAGTTTGACAGAATAATTGACATAACTAACAACAGGAGAACATTGGCATGAATTGAAAGTTCTGGGGGTTTCAGAACCAAATTGAATGTTTTAATGTTTAAAGGACAAAGTATTGAGGGGGCATGACTAAAGTTTCTTTTATTTTTATTTCATATCGAATGAGGATACATGGAACTATTGAACTCTTTCTCGTAAACGGGGATAAATATTTTACAGAATCCTAACCTTAACCAAATGTGATAATCTGCTGATAATTTTAATGTTGATGTTGTATAAACCCACGTACTTTTGTATTTTGAAGTTTTTTTATTATTTTATTTTAAGATTTATAATAAAAAGATTATTAAATGAAAGTTTTAAAACGAAACATTCTTAGACATGAGTATAAGACCAGCACCAAGAACATCAGCTCATTGAGAAAGAAAGAACTAAACTATAATTATTTTCACCAAGTTTTTTTTTTTTTTGGTGGAATTCTAAAGCAGATTACATAGTAGTCCCCTTAGGAACCCAAGATTCCTAATTTCACAAAGTTTGTGTGTGTGGTGGTGACACTAATGAATTCTTCTACATATCATGACAGTAATCTTGGAGCTTTTTTTAAAAAAAAAAAATTTAATCAAATAATTTTTCAAAAAGAAAAACTATATAGAAATTACAATGTTTTATTAGAAGTATAAACGCCATGCATATGCATGAAATGAGATTGGGGCTTAATTAAATTGACCCACTATAATGTACATTTAACAATTCAAAAGGAAAATTTAAATTTTAAAAAGAATCTTGAACTATGAGCTTGTTTTGTTATATAATTACAGTTTTTTCTTGGTACGTACAAAAAATCTTTGAGTAAAAAAAAAAGAGAGAGAGAGCTGAGAAAATCTCACTTTCCTTGACATGAAATTATGGTTCAGCTCCAACATCAGTTGTTGAACCAAGCCCCACCTGCAACCATGGTGAGGAGCCCCCACTGGTATTGATATCCTTTAGTTCACTTAGCTTTGCTAACTTCACCGTACTGTCTGCTTCATCAACCACATTCTGCATTGAAAAATCATTACTATTGTTATTATTATTTGTGTTGTTGTTGTTGTTATTGTTGTCGTTAATGTTGTCATTGTCGTTTTGGTGGGAGGAGTGAAGATGGGGATTGTCCTCCTCTTTTGTCCCAATCCATGGTTGTAAAAAGAAATCTGTCGAGACTTCCAAGCTTGATTGATTGGGACGTTCTCTTCTTCCTCCACCATTCTCATCTACCGGAGCTGGTAGGTTAAGATCAAGCTTTAGATCAAGTGGATCCGAAGAAGCATCAAACTTAGGCCTTTGGTTCATCATTTGTTGCTCCAAACTTTCTTGAAACTCATGGAACTTGGCTAATGTAGACGTGTCTGTCGTGGCGTTGGATGTGATCCAATGGCACCTCTTGTGTCCGCCCAATGCCTGCCCGGAAGAGAAAACCCGGTGGCATATCGAACATTCGTGCACCTTCGCTTTTCTCTTCGAGGTATAGGCTGACGGGGTGTTAGAGCCGTGGTCGAATTGTAGGGTTGAATTAGGTTTATTGGGGAAGAATTCTTCATGTGTGATGACATCATCGTCGGCCATACTATCTTCGAGGTGATCGAGCCGGGCGGCAAAGCACCCTTTAACCTTCTTGTGGCTAGCCCTATGACCTCCCAACGCTTGGTGGGAATTGAACACTTTCTTGCATGCTTTGCACTCAAACAAGCCTTTGTTGGCGACCCCTTTGGCCTTATTGTTGTCTATGGCCACCCCACGTGACATAGGAGCCGTGATGTTCATAGGGTCTCTTCTTTCCTCTTCTTTGCTAGCTGAAGCACAAGACTCCTCCGGCTCAGGAGGATCAACCGTGGCATTGGACAACATCATTAAGCAATTCGCAAGGTCTTCTTCCTCATTTGATGGGCAGTTTGAATTGAAATTGCCCACTTTGGCTCTCATCGATCTCTTCCTTTTCGACCACCCACATCCTCTCCGTCCGCTGGCCCCGTCCTCCCCATCGGAGCCCGGGGAGGACAAGAGGGGTTCGGCATCTATGGAGCTACTACATTTTCCATGTTCAAGGAAAGATTTCCAAGACAAGAACTCTTTGCCGCAATTCTCACAAACCCGGCAGCTCTTTAGGCGATTAGGGTTTGTTCTTAGGGCATACATGCACTTGTTGGTAGATGGAACATTGCCGCCGAGTTTGTCCTCCCAATCACTGGGTGGATCGTCGTCGTCGATGTGACCTTCATCCCCTATTCCATGTGCCCTCATGTGCCCTCCTAGCGCTCTACCACATCCAAATCCTTTCTTGCAAATTTTACAAAAGTGTTTGAAGCCTGATTGCTGGTCCACAATCAAAGCCATTAAATTAAAAAGACAACAAAAAGAAAAACCCCAAAAACAAGGGAAAGCAAATTAAATAAAAAAATAAAAAACAAAACAAAATGCTAGAGAAAAGGGATGATGATGGAAGTGGGTCAAGAATGGAAGAGTAAAGGAAGGTGTTTGTTCTTGTAGTGTACGGAATCGTGGGGTTGTATGGTGATAATTAAGAGTTTCTAGTCCTAGTTTTTAGTTGAAAGTGTTGGTTTGGATTGAATTTGTGGATATGGGAGAGAGAGAGAGGGAGAGAGAGAGAGAGGGGGGGGTGTGAGAGTTCTTGATGAGCTTTGGATGTGATGACATTGTGACAAGTGGACGGAGGCTTAGATGGGTAGAGACTTTTTCTGTGGAGGTGGCGCCGCCGAGTCAAAGCCACAACCAAGGGATGGACGCCCGTACATCAAGAGTACGTTTTTGAGTTGTGTTTGTGTGAGTGTTTGTTTGTTTGTGTGTGAGAGAGTGTGTGTGTTTGTGAGAGACTTAGAGAAAGAGTGTGTGTGTGTGTGAGGGAGTGAAAGAGAGGAAAGGAGAGAGTGGTTCTAACTGCCATACCTATTCATATCCCTTCAATTCCAAGCCAAGAAAACTAATCTCTGCTTCTCCTCACTTGTCGGTTGGTTCAAGCTGCTTTTCCACACATTAAATATTAATTATTTCCATTATAGATAACTAATCTTTTTAATTAATGTTTGTTTGTTTCGTTTTTCTATTTTATGAGTTGCCCAAATACAGAATATTCCCCTTTAAGTTCAGAAGAATGCCAACGATAATTGGGCATTTGCTCCTAAACTTAGATGTCAAATGACTGGATCAGCTATTTGAAGTGACACTAATTTTTTTTCAATGACTTTTTTTACAATTTATTTACTATTTTATTACATTGTATTTAACAGCTAGTACTGGGGCGAAGTGTTAGGATCTCAAACTGCGTATATTAAGCTAGCTTGTCATCAATCAAGTCATAAAATTAGTTCAGTTGATATCTGATTACCTATTAACTTTACTATTCGAGCACAACTAATCACTCGTTTCAGCTTATTCTACAATCATCCCGTAATCCAAACTACTCATTTCTTAGGGCATTATTTGTGATTATTAGTTTCACAAAATTTGGAATATAGTTGGTGCTTGGTGGCGGCATGAATAAAAGGTTGGATTATGAGTTAAATAATGTTATCCATATTTTGCATATATTTTGTACATGGAGGTTTCATATTGTGGAGCACTAAACCATTGTACACCGGTGTTGCTATTAAATTTGTACTATATTACTGACCACCTCTTTAATACAGATGGATCCTATATATATACGCTAGTGGAATCCACTTCTATTAAAGATGTGGTTTGGTCAGCATAATGTGGTCAATAAATGTGGTACGAAATGACAATGAAAAAGTATAAAGTAGGTCGTCATAATATTTTCATCATGTTAGAGTGTCCAATATAATCAGGTCAACTTTCCCTAATGTCAAAATTTTATAAATATTTGTATTGAGTGAAAATTTTGATATAACTAGGACCAGAATAATTCGTTGAATTGTGTAATTAAGGCATTATTAGTTAGAGTTTGTACTTCCTAAATAGTTGAGATCTCAACGCAACACAGCTTCTGGGTCAAGAAGGTGCACTATTACTATTTCAATTCGTCACTGAACTCTTGGTTAAGCAAAGACATTACTTTCACAAGTGAAGTGGGATTAGTCACTAATCAATCATTTCTCATTCAGGCATTGCTTTTGCTTTGATTCAAAGCATTCACAGAAACAACTAGTAGCTGAAGTAGTGAGAGTGATTAAGCAAACAAGTACACGCTTAGTTCAGCCTTGGTGAAGCTCCCCTATATATACTTAAGTAACTTGACTGCACCTCACCTACAAATTAAAGCACTAGGAAAAAGTTGAATGGTCCATTATTAAACTCAACATGTATGGCATGCACTTGGATGTGGGTTGTAGTTTAATGTCTTTTATAAATTTTTGTTACAAATTTTTAAACAACATTGACAAAATTAACTTAATTCATAACATATGTGTAAATAAAATACAAAGTTTATTAAGTTATCCTACATAGTATATTATTTTGATTAAGTCTAAAATGAGGTTAATAAGTGCATCAATTAAGTCTAAAAAAAGAAGGGCCTACACAGGCCGGGTCCAGGGTTTCAAATCGTAAGTCCAAGCCCTACCCAATTCAAGAGCAGGTTGGGCCAAACGAGCTTAATTAAAAAACGAGTCGGGCAGGGCTTTGGCCCATCGATCCTTGATCTACCCACTTCGACCCGTGGACTTAAGGTCAAATGACGATGTATTATGAATGAGATAATAATGTTTAGAAAATTTTGAAATATAATATAGGAAAGATCAATTTCTAATTAACAATTACTATTTACCAAGAAAAGATAGATTAGCATATGTGATGGCCATAACAGTGTGCCTGCCCTCATATACCTGAGATTCGAATCTCCTTCCTTATATATTTTAATTTAGGGCCAGTTTGGCATTGCTGTGCTGTGAAAATAATCGCTGTCAGATTTGCTGTGAAAGAAATCAACTGTGAGAGAAAGCAGTTTGGTGTTTGGTAAATTTTTTGTTAAAAGTGTTGTTGATATTGATTCCCTCATAATTAGAAAATGATTGCGGCATAATCATTAAACCCAGTGCCTCTTCAAAACTGATTCCTGCATAATCAGAAAATTAAAGCATCTCATTACCTACTTTCCCTTATATCAATTTTTAACAATAAGTGATTTTCTCATAGTTTACCAAATGGCTTGGACTTCCCAAATTTTTTTAAAAATCACTTACCACCATAAATAAGCAATGCCAAACTGGCACTTAGAGTAATTAGCCTATTGATTGTATAAAAAAAAATGGGTGAGAGGATCCTCTTCTGTGAAACCCCATATTTTTAAATACGTATATTAATATTTCATAAGATTAAATATTTACAATTATTAGTCTTCAAAACTATATAATTAATAATATATATATATATATATATTAATTGTATGGCAAGTTACGTAAAGTTAGCTATTAACTAGTATAGCCTATCAAATGTTATTGCATGGCTTTAATTATTTCAATTCATTTCAGCATTATTTATTATTATTTTATATATATATATACTCACTTTACAAAAACTGTCATAAAGACATTTATGCTTACTAAGCATTTGTTGAAGATTGACGTGTTGTAATGTAGTGTCCTCAAAACCAATTAAAGCATGAGGTGTAAGAATGATAGTTATTCCTATATATATAAACTTGATAGGAGAGTGTTCACTAAGCACTCTACAAAGCCAACACATAAGGCTATTTGGGAGTCTAAGAACCTATAGACTAATTAGGTGGCACAACATTAAGCTTCATCTACCGACTCTAGCTTACTATAAATAGGTTTACTCAATAGTTCTTTGATCATAGGTACTTCAAGTGTGTTAGTTTCCCAAAAATCATAGACAGAAGAAAGAAAGAGTGAGAACTAAGTGTGGTGAGATTTTGGAGAAGCTCAAAGTGTTTGGACTTACAACTGGGAGTTATGAAATTGGTACTTAGGTGACGAGGGGTAAATTTAACAACATAAACAAGACATAACAACACAACAATCTACACACACTTTAGACCTTGACCAAATACACATATGACTAGTCAACTGCTAGTCATGAACAACCCCAATCAAGAGAACACACAAAGCATGCCACAAAGTACCTGCAACCCTAGAAGATTACTAGTGACAACCTAGGCACTCAGAAGGACCCGTCAATCTAGGCATCCCCTGTGCTAGCAACAACTATGGTGGAAGTGTGTGAAAACATTATAATCAAGTAAATACCAAACAGCAGATAATGATGACTAGTCAACTACCAAGAACACAAACCCAGAAAAATTACAGATATGCAAACCAGATTTTGTTCACCCAGAAACCCACCATTGGGAAAAACTGGAGGTCATCAATCGATCAGGCAATCTAGTAAGTAGAAAAAGATTCTTACAAAGGAATACAAGCAAGCTCAAGCAACACCTAGATCTATTTAGGAAGATGAGCTATACCTCCTTCGTGCAATCTTCTTCTCCAACTTAGCAAAACTTGAAGCTCAGTTCTTCATGGCAATGACAGCTCCTTCTCCAGCTCGTTCATCCCATGGCACTAGCTTGCAAGCTCCAACTCAGACCGAAACCAAAATTTGGATTCAAAGGAGAATGACCAATTTCTTCAAGAAACCATACTCTTGAAGAAATCAGTCTTGAATCTGACCTAGATATAAATGAGAGAGTGATTTAAGTAGCTAGATGCAGATTCGAGTTTCAAATGCAGTTTTTCAAGAAGAAATCAATTGGAAAAACTCATAGATGAAATATATAGTTCTCTCTTGAGGAAGAAGAAGAGAAAGATAGCAAGCCAATCTTTCCAAAACTTCCACCCAAAAGAGACGGCTTCCAAAAGAGGAATTCACTAGCCTTTACAGACAAAAAATTCCCTTAGGTCAGAATGACACATGGCAGCAGAGAGAGAAAAGAGAATAGGACAAAACAGTTGGTTAACCAGCTGGAAATCCTACATAGCAAGGATGATTAGTCATCATTTATGAAAACAGTTTAATGCAACGATATGCAATGCATGATTTACCTTTGTCAATTTGCTTGAACCTCCATAGGATAGATGATAGTTAAGAACACCTAGAGATGCTATTCTTAATCTAAACTTGAGCTTGATAAATACAATAAAAATCCTATTACAAAATTGTCAAGGGAAGCCAAAAGAATTAATCAAAATTCATACATTAACAAGTTATACAATAGCTTTGGGTTTGAGATAGGGGTTCTTTCTTGGGGAGGTTTTGCATAAATTGATTTAATTAAATATTGTGAACACTATATTATGCTTGGTAATATTGTTTGATTATTATCCTTGATATTGGGTGTTTACATGATTGTCAATTATCATTATAATTTGATTAATATTGACATGTTCATATGTTGTCAGTGGTGTTTGGAATTCTTGGGTTGACAAAGAAATTATGGAAAAGAGGGTAATGGGAAGGTTCTTTTGTTTAGTTGAGTCTGACCATTATAGGGACCAAGTTCAGGTGAGCCCATGTGCACAGTAGATTAGGAAATCGCGGCGGTATAATTGTCGATTGGGTGATTTGGGCTTGGAGATCAATGGTATGGAC